AATAACAATTATCAAGCAAAAGAAGTAGATAGAGACAGTAGCGAATACAAAAATAAACGAAACATTTATGTTAAAAAACTGAATGAAAAAATCATAAAAGAACCTAAACAATCAAGTCTGGATTACTATCAAGTCAAGTATAAAGAAGACACCAAGAAATACGTTTAATCATTAACTAACAAAATTTCGTGTCTCAAAAGCGGTTTGTTTATTCCTGCTACTTTGTAAGTTTTATTACCCATAATATCATATTCAATTTTATCGATATTGAATATTTTATTAGACCATTTAGAGTTATACTCCTTTCTGTCGGTGTAATTACCCCTTTTCTTTTGAAACACTTTTACCTTGTCGTTCTCCACTATTCTGGGATACTTTCTTTTGTTTTTTTCTCGTAGTTTAAGATTGACCTTTACATTTATTTCATTGTCGTCCTTGTGTGCTTCAGACGGTGTCATCCTTGTTGATGAGTGAGATGTGCTGTTATACTGTTTCAATGCCGGCGTTAGGGCGTCGGTCCATTTCATGTTGTTAAATCTAACTCTATCGTGAATTTTGTTTTTCATCGTTCTAATAAAACGCTCGGCCACATTTGCGTGGGTCTTCGTGACGATGTGGTTTATTCCTTCACTGTTGAAGAAATCCTGAACTTGATTTTTAGTTGCAAACGCTCCGTCGTCATCAGAATACACGGACATCGGATAACCCATCTTTTTAAAGCTTGCTCTCAACGCCTTCAAAACGTGCTCTCCGTCTCTTTCCTCCATCGGTATTACATCTGCTAATTTACTGAAGATGTCAATCACGACTAAAGCATACTGTGGAACGAACTTGTCTTTTGCTAAAGGTGACATATGCATTATGTCTATTTGATATTCATATCGTGCGAATGGAGCGGTATAGGAATTAGTACCTCTATAATTTTTGATTTGCTTATTTGGTTGTTTCTTTAAGAAAGACTTTACATCGTCTAATGTTATTGTTGGGTCTTCTTCCTTTGCCTTCTTGTGTGTCGCTTGTGTGCTTCCGAAACCCTCGTCTAAGTCGTAATAGATGTTGCTGATTATTTGGTCTTTTGTTAATCTCGCCATTATATTAAATTGTTAGAAAATATTTTTTCAATATAAAGCCCCACCCCTTAACATAAAATAAAAAACTAAAGAAATATTAACTTATTATATTAAGTGAAAATATGACTGAAATAAGATTAGAGGACTTGAATTTAGAAAATGTCGGAGTGATTGCTGACTTATCAAACTTGGTGCTATCAGACGGAGAAGATGATGATAATGACAGTTATAAAAAGGAATTAGATGAAGAGTTAAACAAAATAAAGGATTTCATCAAAAGAAACCCTTTGCCAGCAGTTGATGAAAACGAAGAATTCTGGAAAGATGTCATTAGCAGGTTTAGGGATAATAGCGGATTAAACTTGATGGCGATATACTCATTTGTTAGGTTTGACATCATGAAAGAAATGTATGAAAACCTAACAGATGAAGACATCATAAAAGACTGTGGTAAAAAGTTAAACCGTGATGGAAGTTTAATGCAATGATTATTAACCACTATATCTTATCAGGAGCGATACGGAAACTAAACAAAGAAGACAGTCTAGTAGATGGACAGATGCGAATTATTGAATTCTGGTGGGATGGAATAGGTGAATGGAAAGCGTGAGTGATTTAGTTTAATGATATTATTCAATTATAATATGATTAAACCTAGTTTTATAATCTAACAACAAGGTTAAGACATTTAAATTAAACCTGAAACCCAGACCAGCCGACCAGCAACCCCTAGCCAAAACTACTTAAAGAGAAAACACCTTATATATAAAGAGAAAAATGAGTAAGGGTAAAATGTCAGAGAATAATTTTATGGTTAAGAATTGTGCTAGCTTACCTATGGAAACATTGTTAAACATCGCTTCTTATATGATTGGCAATGAAGGGTGGCAAAGACTAAAACAGTGTAAAGCATTAAGGGTCTTACAAAGGAAATGGAAACCGTCTATTTACACTGAACGAGTAGGAGAAAGTAGATATTATGTTGAGATTCGCAATAAATGCTTAAAAGGTGATAAAGCGCTTTCATATGCGTTGAAACCACCAAAAGAATTATTAAGAATGATGAAGTATGATGAAGAAATACAGGTTGGAATAGAAGTTAGTTCGAAAATTATGTATCATAATAATATTAGCAACTGTCGTTCTTATTCATCATCTAAACAGAATAAGATTTCAAGTAGAGCGTCATTACAATACCATATTGAACAAGCAGTTGAAGAAACCAAACAGACTATGAAACGACACGAAATCATTACTATCGAACATGTTATAATTGAAATTTATAGAAAACAGAAACAATGATTTCATGGTTTAATCATAATATTTAATTATAATATGATTAAACATTGTTTTATAATCTAACAAGAAGGTTAAGACATTTAAATTAAACCTGAAACCCCTAGCCAAAACTACTTAAAGAAATATTACCTTATATATTAAGAGGAAAATGAACGGTGATAAAATCAAAAATTATATCGATAAAAAATGCTATGATTGTTGTCACTTCAAAAAAGAAAATATGGAATTGTATAAATTGAGTTTACCTAATGAAATAGTGAATAATATTATTAATTATTCAATGGATGGTGAAGAAGACATATGTAAAAATTGTAAAACTTGGAGAGATAATCAATTTTTAATCAAATGTCTGTTGGGAATAAAAAGAATACATAATAGAAATGTAGAAGATGATATTTTAATATTTCTAACTGTAAATAAAATACCACCTTACGATTATGTTAAACAGTTTCTTAAAATCAGTAAGAAAAAATATGACACGATTTACGATATATTATGGATGTTGGGTTATAGTCAAGAGAAAGGAGAAGATGTTAAAGAAAATATCAAATTATTTATTGAAAGTAAAAAGTTTAATGTTCAGAATACAGTGAGAGATGTTAATATTATTTTTAGAATGATGTATGAAAGAAGTAAGACAAACCAATTAGATTATTATCCTGAACTGAAATTATAATCATAATATAATAATAACATGTAAAATCTTATATGTTATAATTATACTGAACTTTTAACCTATAAATGAACATTAGTGAGAAAAATACTAACAAAACAAATACACCACCAACACCCCAGAACTTGATAACTACTAAAAGGGCTACCTCTTTCAAATGAAAAAAATGTCGGCCCCCAGCCCAACAATGAACAAGGCGACAATTTACCCAAATGATTACCTTAACGAAAACGATAAATAAGCTCCCTAAAAACCCTCTTTTAAAAACGAATAAGGGGGGGAACACAGATTTGAGATGAACATAAAAACCAGAACAGGCAACCCTCAACAGGCTTCCCCTCAGGGCCCCCCTTTTCTCCATTTTTTTGGGGGGTATGGTAAGCACACCCGCCCAAGTGCACCCGCTCAGCTCTGTGTCCACGCATGCGACATAGTTCTAGTGAGGGGGGGGCATGATAAACACACCCGCTCAACTGTTCCAGCCCAGCTGCTCTTTACCAGCATTACAAGATAACATGGTTCTAGGGGGAGAGGGGGGCTGGGCGGGGGGGGGGGAGGGAATGGTAAGCACACCCCAAGTGCACCCGCTCAGCTCTGTGTCCACGCATGCGACATAGTTCCAGGGGGGGGCATGATAAGCACACCCGCTCAACTGTTTCAGTTCAGCCTGCTCTTTACCCGGATTACAAGATAACATGGTTCTAGGGGGAGAGGGGGGCACGCATGCGACATAGTTCTAGGCGGGGGGGGAGGGCATGATAGGCTGCTTCAGCCCAGCCTGCTCTTTACCCGGATTACAAGATAACATGGTTCTAGGGGGAGAGGGGGGGTGGGTGGGGGGGGGGAGGGAATGGTAAGCACACCCGCTCAAGTGCACCCGCTCAGCTCTGTGCACACGCATGCGACATAGTTCTAGGGGGGGGGAGGGCATGATAAGCTGCTTCAGCCCAGCCTGCTCTTTACCCGGATTACAAGATAACATGGTTCTAGGGGGAGAGGGGGGCTGGGTGGGGGGGGGGGAGGGAATGGTAAGCACACCCACTCAAGTGCACCCGCTCAGCTCTGTGTACACGCATGCGACCTAGTTCTAGGGGGGAAGGCATGCCCAGCCTGCTCTTTACCCGGATTACAAGATAACATGGTTCTAGGGGGAGAGGGGGGGCACACCCGCTCAAGTGCACCCGCTCAGCTCTGTGCACACGCATGCGACATAGTTCTTGGGGCGGGAGGGCATGATAAGCTGCTTCAGCCCAGCCTGCTCTTTACCCGGATTACAAGATAACATGGTTCTAGGGGGAGAGGGGGGGGAAACCCGCTCAAGTGCACCCGCTCAGCTCTGTGCACACGCATGCGACATAGTTCTAGGGGGGGGGAGGGCATGACTGCTTCAGCCCAGCCTGCTCTTTACCCGGATTACAAGATAACATGGTTCTAGGGGGAGAGGGGGGGTGGGTGGGGGGGGAAAGCACACCCGCTCAAGTGCACCCGCTCAGCTCTGTGTCCACGCGTGCGACATAGTTCTAGGGGGGGGGGGGGGGGTGGGGGGGGAGGGCATGATAAGCACACCCGCTCAACTGCTTCCGCCCAGCCTGCTCTTTACCCGGATTACAAGATAACATGGTTCTAGGGGGAGAGGGGGGCCTGTTCTTGTTCTTGTTCTTGTGCTTGTTCTTGTTCTTGGTGTCGTTGTCGTTGTCGTTGTTGGTGGTGGTGGTGGTGGTGGTGGCGGCCGGGTGGCTCAAGGGCACAAACGAGTTAGCTGGGGTGGCCGGAAATGGTGGCCCTGCGCAGTAGAACATCAAAAAGGGGCACACACGAGTTGGCGCATGCAGGGCACAGACGAGTTAGCCATGCAGGGCACAGCCGAAGGCGCACCGGGCATCAGACCCCAGTACTTGAACCGAGCGATCAAACCAGCCAAGGGAATCCTCCTTTCCCACAGAATGCGGGCAAGCTGCGATCACGGCACTAAGAGGAGCCTCAGACTCCTCGAAGTGGAGGCGACGGACGGCATCCTCAATCTCCTGGCTCACCCACTTTCCACGAAAAAATCGGTTGCTTTCCACCAAATTGCAAATGGTCCAAGTGAGACCACTTTACCGCGGCCTCCGACCAGCAAATTCACTCCGAGCTTTGCGCCTGGTGCGGAATCATGGTTGGCATGGCGGAGCCATATCCGTATTGTCCATACTGCGTCACGACCGAAGGGCTGGCCTGCGCAGCGGGTCTCTCTCCGAACGCAGGGCTGCCTTGTAGGCCTGGAAGACTGACTGGTTCAAGGAGAACTGTGAGCTTGCCCAGGTAGCTGTAGAGAAAGCCGGTGACGCAGGCTGGTAGGGCTGGGGCTGAGGCTGGTACGGCTGGGGCTGAGGCTGGTACGGCTGGGGCTGAGGCTGGTAGGGCTGGGGCTGAGGCTGGGGCTGGTAAGGCACCTGTGGCACGCACAAGAAACTCTGGCTCTTTTGCTCTTGCACCCAGTACCCAACCAGCACCCGGTTGAATGCGAGCTAAGGAGCCGGAGCTGAAGAATAGGCTTGCCTGAAAATTGGAAAGGGATGCGGCTTCGTATGTACAAGCCCCAACTTTGCTCCCAGGCATGCTCAAGAATGCATGACTTCTTGGGCCACTGAAAGCAGGGCAAGTCACGCATTGCCTTTGGCCTGATCACAGCTAGCAAAAATGCATATCAAACAAGCTGCTCGCTGTGTATCACTTAGCGGCATTGCTGACCATGTTGTGCTGAGAGTTGGGCAGATGCTATGCCTATCATGGGCGGCGCAGCTTTCAACGGCGCAGACGCCTAAGTGAGCAAGCTGGCACTGGCACACTCGCAAACCTCCCAAGCACAAGAATGTTGACACGGCACAACAGGCATAGCAGCTTGCTAACATGGAAGCCGTTGATAACCACGGCACACTTCCACTGGTTTCCGCTGAACCGTCACATCGAGCCTAAGGTGGATGAACCGCATCGAAATGTTCATATTCCAAGCGCCAGACAGGAGCTGTTGCCACGTAAGTTGGAGCTGCCTGCGGCAGATACGCCTAAGTGAGCATGGCATCAAAAGTCGAAACTACGCCAGAAGAAAAGCACAACTGACACATCTAAATGCTGATATACACACGCAAACAAACTTGACACCATGCAACATCATGCACGCACCCCGCTAAGCACCCAATCTCAAAAGAAAACTGTCACCACATAGCTTGGCGTGGCAGCTGCTGAACTGGAACTGTATGGAACTGATGCACGATAGGCGTCTGGCATCAAAATGTACACATCCCAAGTGCCAGACAGGAGCTTTCAGCAGGTATGGCGGCATAGCTTTCTGTGGCGCAGACGCCTAAACGAGCATGCCAACAACAGTTGGAACTTTGCCTGGAAAAAGCACAACTTTCTGATCATATGCACAAGGATCAAATATTGTGCACATACTCATACTCACATAAAACACAGCAAACACTGGTTTCGACATCGAGCCCAAGGTGGATGAACCGCATCGAAATGCTCATATTCCAAGCGCCAGACAGGAGCTTTTGCCACGTATGTTGGAGCTGCCTGCGGCAGATACGCCTAAGTGAGTATGGCATCAGAAAGTTGAAACTACGCGAGAAGCAAAGCGCAAGTGACATATTAAATGGTGATCACACACAACGATGGGCCACTGCAAATATGAGTATCCGACAATATTATTGAATGATTGCGGTTGTATTCGGCGCGACATCACTTAGCTCATAATCTCTAAAACCTATCAAAACCATGAAAACCGATGGGGGCCTACCCAAGACCGATGCCCCGTAAGAAGAGTAAAGACTTGCAATGCAACATTGTTCGTCGCAAAAGCTTTTTTGGCTTTTGTAATCTTGTTGAAGCCATGGCAGAGTGGACCGTGGAAGAGCGCGTGAAACTTGGGCTGGTAAATTTCGGTCGGAGCCTGATCTGGCAGACGGAAGTGATAGAGCCTGTGACAGACGGCTGTGACAGAGCTCTTTACACAGATGTCTGTGACAGACAGATGTGACAAGTAGCTCTGACAGAGCCCTTCGCAGACAGCGCGCAGACTCGCGCAAGAGCGCACGTCTCGCGCGGGAGTTTGTCGGAGGTTTGCCTACTATAGTTGCCAGTCTGTGACAAGAGGCTCGTAGAAAGAGATTGTGCACAGATTGCTCGTAACTTGCGCGGGGCTCCGTGGCCGTTCAGCACCGTTGGGGAGCAATGTAAAATACAAGAGAGAGACACCACTTAGACAACACAAGTTCGGGAAACCAAGCACCCCCGACCGATGCCCCCGACCGATGTCCTCCAAATGTGTGACCGATGCCCCTACGAGTGCCGTGTGGCTGACGCTGCAGCAACAGATTTGTGCTCATGAGCAGGAGGCTGCTGAAAGCAGCAGCTCGAGCTCTAGCTCGTTAAGCGCCTCCTGAATGAAACGTCAGCGGTGTATTCTTCTGCCAGGGCTCGTCTTTACCAAAAAGCTAGTTGCCCACCCTCAAAGTGTAAGCAGTTGCACGCGTGTGGCTTGAAATGTGTTTGAGGTAGCTGTTGGCACGAGCGTGCGTTACGAAAGGTGCTCAGCGGCCTTTGGCCTCACACGGTTTTACGGAGCTAGCTGCTGGGCCACGAAATCTAAACACTTGCTGCGTGTATTGGAAACACAGGCGCGCAAGGCGTGCGTGCAAGAAAGCCGTGGGTCCCTGAGCGCAACTGCGGTTTGCCGGTTTCGCTTCAGCGTCAAATTGCACGCAGTTATGTGCTTTCAGCTCACAAACAAGTACTTCGAACTCTGAAGTTATAGAATTTAGTGAAAAGCCTGAAAACCGATGGGGGCCTACCCAATTTTGCGATGACGTATTCGGGAAGTAAGCAATATTGTCCGACACTCATATGAATACGCACACAAAGAAGCATCACAAGCGCACAAAAAGACTGTCACCACCTAGCTTGGCACGGCAGCTTGCCGAAATGGAAATGATGCTTGATAGTTCTCTGTTCCAGTGAAGCACAACAGCCACTATTGGTTTTCTGCTGGGTCGCGGACGAGTTCGGAAACTCAAAACCCGGATTCCGAAACTACCCACACGGATTCGGAAACTCGGAAACTTGAAGCACCTGAGCGGGCGCACTTGAGCGGGTGTTCTTATCAATTGGCAGGCAGATATGCAGTGCTGCGCGGGTGCGCTTGAGGGAGTATTCTTCTCATTTGGGAAGCAGATACGCAGTGCGCTGCAGGTGCGCTTGAGCGGGTGTTCTTCATTTGGGAGATATGCATTACGTACTTCAGCTGCTCCGGTTCGGGCCAAAGTGTCCAACTCAGAGGCCCCAATCTTCTGAATGGAAACTTCCGAATCGGGCAAGTGTTTGAAGCGGTCAATGTGTTTTTCTTTTTTCCTGCTGAACCGTCTGAAAGTCGAGCTCGCCCTGCAACCGCATCAAGATGTACTTATTCCAAGTGCCAGACGGGAGCTTTCAGCATGTATGGCGGCATAGCTTTCTGTGGCACAGATGCCTAAGCAAGCATTCCAACAGAAGTTGGAACTATGCCTGGAAAAAGCACAACTGACGTAGCTTGAATGCTCATTACACACACAAGGATCAGCTCCCGTGCACATACACATGTACACAGAAAGCAACACACCATGCTGCAATATGCACGCATCCCGCTAAATACCTAGGCACCAAGCGAACATGATGCTTCCGAAACATCTCAACTGCAGCGAAATCAGCAGATAAGTGCCACACAGGAGCTTTCGCCAGGTTTGACGGCATAGCCTTCTGAGGCGGCACAGATGCCTAAGGAAAGGGTCCCCAAAATCACAGCAAGTTGACTGTGCATGTTGCAACCTGCGAAATTGCAAGTGTTTCAATCTGGCACTTTTCCACTTGCCAAGCTCCAGGCCGATTGTGCAAGCATAACCGGCATCACCTACCCCAAGCCCTCCCAACGAGTGCTGAAGCGTCTCGCATACCCCACTCTCTTGTAGACTCACGTCTCCAAAGCCGAACTTCTGGAAAGCATCCCAAATCCGGGAGACAACTCGATGCAACCAGCGCATGGCCCTTCCACCAAGAAACAGGAGTTGCGACTCATGCAAAGTTGTTGATTTCCACGCGAAACCCCATGGCGTCTTCGCAGGAGAATCCAGAAGCTGCAAAAAGGAAGCCCGGTTCGGAACTTGCACCCCTTTTGAAGAGTCTGGCATTGGCTGAGAGCGACATCTCGACTCACACAACTCATGCCACCAAAGCTTTGTTCTTTCAAAACACAAGGACTGTGGTCTCAAAATCCCAACATTGATCTGAACAGTCACTCAGCAGCCTGCTCCAATCTTCATAAGACATATCCCGAGTAGGTCGTCTTTACCAAGCTAGCAACTCATAAATGGCATCTCTAAGTCCTCCAAAAACAATGGAAAATAATGTTCTGCAACTTGCCATTCATGTTAGGGTTTGGGATAGAACCCTGCAAGGCGAAACTTGCACCGTAAAATTGCTAAGCGCAGCTGGCAAAACAAATCCTGCACCATGCCAGTTGAAAACAGCCCAGACTTTATTTTTTGCATACTCCTAGTGTACTGTTCTATGATTAGGGGTGCTGCAAAAATGTACATCCCTGCTGGCAACAGTCGCGCCAAAAGGAACATGCGTTCTAACTTACATGCTCGGTTCAAAACAAAAACAAAAGACCCGCACTGAGCAAACCACATGCTGTGACGTGAACATTGTTTTATCAAACATGGATTGCTACCTGGACACTGGTGCTCTTCATGCGCACGCATGAAACACAACCAATGTATCGCTGGACCACTTCAGAACCTTCCTCAGAAGGGAACAAACAGCGCGCCTTGGCCACAGGCTGTGGCTGTGGCTGTGGCTGTGGTTGCGCCTTCAGCTGACGTGGCTGGACCGAACAGACTCCCTCCGAGAGATTCCCTTTGGCCAATCTATGACACGCTTTCTCCAGCCGAGCGGCCATGTCACCGCCTGCGACGGCTCGAGGCAACATGCCTTTTCTTGACTCGGAAGAGAAACCAGCGGAACCCGCGTAGGCGAGAGACAAACCACATGGAGATCGCGGGGGTACCCAACTCCGAGCCGAGCCGCCGAGCCGCCGAGCCGCCGAGCTGCCCAGCCACGCCCAGCCGGGGCATGTGCGGTGTCGGCACTTTGAGGCGGAGCGGCAGACTCTTGGAACCAAAACAAGCTTGGACTCTTGCTGCTGGTCTCCGAACTGAGCCCGGTGCCTCCTCATCCTTGTTGCAGCTAGCATCCACGAGCCACAGCATGGCAAAGACCTGGCCAGGAAACCACAAAAAGATGCCATGCTCTCCCGGTTTCCTTCTGATTTGGCATAGGACTTTATCACCCTGCCACACCTGCAGAACGCGCATGGCCGCCATGACTCACAAGGGATGGTGCGAGAATGCGCTGGTTTGACCAAAGCCAACAATGAGGGCGTGACTCGTCACAACTTCTGTCCCAACTAATTTCGACTTGGGTGATACCTGTCTGTGTCACAAAGCTGCTGATGACACCGGCGCAATTACAAATGCGGGAAGATTCAAAAACCGCGGCACCGCCCTCACAAGCCGAAATCAGCAGCATGCCAGGTTGCCACTTGCGGACGTCTTACAGTTGCGACAAGGTGGGTTGCTTACCGCCAGAGTACCCTCCTGAAGCTGCCGTAAACCACCTTGGGCAAACGACTATAGGGGAGTCGCCCGGAGGTCCTTAGGCGGAATCGCTGGTTCTACCCCCAGATCGGTGAGCAATTCCTTTCCCCCCAGCGTGTTGCTTAAAGGGTACCCTGTTTGAGGCTGGCTAGGGCAACCGAAAGGAAAGCCCGCATGGATTGCAGCTGAGCTATGCATGGCAATTTTCACGCACATTTTCTCTGCCACATCCTTGCCTCAAGCTTGCTTTCCACCCGTATCCTTAAGCCACACGGAAACTTGAAACACACTCAGTTGGGCATGCCACTGATATGGGTCACCTTGAAAGAAAAACCCGCCCATGTGGGTCTCTGGCATTGATGGTGGGTCATAGTCAAAGCCTAACAATCAAGAAATACCTCGAAACATCAGCACAGCTAGCTTTCTGCGCCAGTTTGGAAAGCTTGGGTGAGTGAGAAATGTAAATTTGAATGCAGTGCAAAAGAAAGGTACATGCAAATGTTACGATTTCTTGCATGTGTGTCTGTGTTTGTGTGCGCATGCATGTTTGTTGTGCATGCATATGCATCATCGCATTCACACTTGCCAAAGGTTTCTAGGAACTTTCGTGGTACGGACACTGATTGAAAGCTAGCTCTCTGCCGGAAGACAAGAGAAGAACAAGAACGCAGACAAAACGCGCGCGCATGCGCGTGCGGGAATCGACATCTCCAGAAAACGAAAGCCCTGCGGCGAATTTCAGCTACTCGGCTGCTGTGCGGTTCTGAGCGGAGACGGGACCACACACACGCCAGCGCTTCGCAACCATGAAATTGTGAACCCTCTGTGGACTTTTGGGGCGTTGATCCTCAAAAACTCGTGGTGTTTTTACGGTGTTCACTTTGCTCGCGCAACCTCTCTGCGGACATTCGGAGGGTGAGCCTCGAGAAACTGTGCTTTTGCATTTGTCACTTTCGTGGGCTGGGACAAAAGAAAGAGGAAGCGAAAGAAAAGAGAAAGAGGAAAATCAAGAGAAAGAGAAAGACAAAGAAAAGAGAAAGAGGAAAATCAAGAGAAAGAGAAAAACAAAGAAAAAGAGAAAGAGGAAAATCAAGAGAAAGAGGGCAAAGAAAAAGAGAAACAGGAAAATCAAGGCCAAATCCCCGGAACGGATGGAGGCCAGGTCAGCGCGTCTGAAAACGTTACATTGGCTTGCCAAACCCAACTCAAATTGGCCGGCAATTGTGACATGTTCGGCATGGATGCGTCTGCAAACCGAGCTGGTTTCATGTCGGCTTCCAGCGCCACGCAAGGCCCAAATGTCCCAGAGCCACCAGACTGGCATGTCAGCCTTCATAAAATTTCACAAAATGCCGGAGCGCATGCACTTGAGGCGGATTCAATCAACATCCGGAATTGCCGGAGCACGTGCCCCCATTCCTCGACGTGTGCTCCTTCGGGTGAAGCAGGGCGGGTTCCCCTGAAATTTTGGCGGCTTCTTTTGGCTGCTCTTTTTCAGCTGGGATTTCCATCCAAGATTGGGTGACAATGTGAGAAGCTGAGGCATGAAACACGCCAATTTGTCCAGTTGAAAACCCCAGCTCTGTGAGGCCGCAACCGGATTTTGTGATGCGCAACTGGCCTTTCGGGGAAAGCTGGCCTGAGCAGACTCGAACAGAGCAGGGGTGGCAATGATTGTGTACACCAGCAAAGTCCGCAAGGCCGGGGGGGCGGAAGTTTCAAATCGAAGAGCTACGGTTTTCCCCTTCTCTCTCTCTCTCGTTCTATTTGTCTTTTTCGTTCTCTTTCGTTTCCTCTTTCTCTTTCTTTTCCTCTTTATCTTTTTCTGTTTCTTTCTCTTTCTCTTGATTTTCCTGTTTCTCTTTTTCTTTGCCCTCTTTCTCTTGATTTTCCTCTTTCTCTTTTTCTTTGTCTTTCTCTTTCTCTTGATTTTCCTCTTTCTCTTCGGCTTGGAAAAAATCAATGTGGCTGTATTGATAGATGTTTTTTCCCCCATGTCGCCTTTCGCATAATCGCCGGTCGACCGAAAAGACTCGCACATGAACAATAAAAGAGGGCGAACCCAAACGAATTCCCTAATTACAGGCAAGGCACATGCAGGTATAACGAAGGGGCCGGGTGCAAACATGGCTAGGCCATGTGTTCCCACATGCCGCATTTTGCCGCAAGACGCGCACAAAAAGAAAGACCAAGCGAAAGGTCAGTAACGCACAAAGCCAAGAAAGACACCGAGCGTAACTGTACGGCCAAAAATGAGACACTAGGCATCAGCCCACAGCACCAGCAAAACATTGGTGCAGAAACCGGGCATCCGTTTTCTCAAGCCAAATATTCATAAGACCGCGCGTCTATGTGCAATCGACGCGCCCATCCGTAGAACATGCAGGATTGTTTGGAGCAGAAGCAAAATGGCAGAGTGCCAAGTTGCCCCCATCCACCAACAGTACTGTTTGCACATACAGCCATCCTTTCTCTTGTACATTCACTGTCTGTAATCGAAGCCATCTGCGCACACCCAAAGCATCAAAGATGATCGTCGCAGAAACCGAGCATCCATATTCTCGTGCATGTTCCAAGTCTGCAAAAAGGGGAGCGACCACACCTGCCGCAGAGGTGTCAGTTGTGAAACGAATCGAAATCCATTGCAGCAACAGGAGTCCATCCACGCGGCGTGCTCTACCTCGCTTCGTAGCAGCAATATAGCTCGTACCATTGCTACCGTGTCAGAAGTGAACCGCTGCAGCCGATTGCACAGGCGAGTCAGTTTTGCAGGGGTGCCGAAACTTCCAACATGCTACGAGGACAAACTCCACCACTGCATGAATATTATACCAAGCAAGCCAACACGGAAAACAAGCAGCAATAGACAAGACTATAAAATACAGACACAGCAAGTGAGTCTGAATCAGAAAACTGGAGCATCACGTAATCGGGTGATGCAACAAGAAAAATCCCATCTAGGAGCAAAGAGGTTCAAGCCAACACCAGTTGACAGAGGACTAAATGAAACAGCCAGCACACAGATCGACCCGTATAGAGGTTGAATGTACCCCAGCAGCGCTGCAATTGGCTGCCAAGGCGGTTAATGTCCCAAATGACAGGTGCCAACCACCTTGCAGACTGACTCAAGACTGGCGAGGCTTGCCCTAGAATGGGATAGAAATCCGCCAAACAAAAGCCACCCGGGCAATGAGTATGTTGCGAGCCCTGCAGCGAGCTTGTGTCCAAAAACCAGCGGACATAAAACAGCCCATCCGCAAGGTAGCAACACAATACCACCGATCGTACCAAAAAGCATATGACGCCCAGAGGGACTTTGACTACAACCAGGCGCAACGGGCGGAAGAAGCTCGTGCGCTCCCTGCAGGGCAGGGAGCACCGGCTCACGAAGCTGGGGAAGGGCTTCTTCTGGGACAAGTACTACGAGTACCTGGCCCACATGCCGGTGATCATTCGCGGCAGGAGGGCGGGCTACGAGCCGAGGGACTGGCTGCCCGGGGCTATGACGAGGCAGGTGGCGGGAGCAAGTCGAGGCCTCACTTGGCGACCCCGGCCCGATCCTGCAGCTCTGTAAAACACAACGGGTGGTCAGCACCCAGAGCACGCAGCACAGGAACTCAAGGACCGAGGTGGAGACGCTCCTGCGCCCCTCACAAGCGTGAGCTTCCAGCTGCCCTGCGAGGAGGAAGTAGTACGGTAGGGCAGCCTATAGGGACCTATTTTTAGGGGTTAGAATCTTGGTCACTGCTTCAAGCCTACAAAGACATGCAAGGAAAAAAGCATCCGACCGAAGCAAACTCGACACTCGTTTTTTTACTTGAGCGTTGCTTAGAAGTGCAGGCTCTGAGATGCAGGTGGAGTGACGATGCGCGTCCACTCCATCTTCCTGCATCTCATGCGGAGCCTGTCGGAATGCCCCCTGTGGTCAACATTGCGTGTTCGACCATCACACAGGGTGTTTTACCCATGGGGTGTGAGACAAATAGGAGGTATGTTGCACATCGGTATGCAATGCGTGCATAGGTGTGCATGGGAGGCATGCGTCCTCCTGAAGCGGACCAGGCTGGTCCGATAGAATGCCGAGGGCATCCAGCGATGTGCGACTGCGTGCACAGCATGGGTTCAAACTGGTGTGGCCAGTGAGGAATGCGTCCTCACTGCATAGGCTCAAACTGGTCCTGCGGGAGCAGCGGGATGCAGTAAGCCAACAAAATGTTGGAAGCGGGAAAGCTTGCTTTCATGCGTGTGCATTCATCCCTCAATCAGGCCTTGTGGAAGTTGGTTTCCACCTGGGCCGTGAAAG